GTTGCAAAGGTGCAAGCAAGCTGGCATCACCGTGAGCTGCGGCTTCGTCGCCAGCTATGAGATTCCTTGTTGAAAATGCTCAGGGCTCCTTTTTTTTTTCTGAAGCCTTCCTTTTTCTTTCTGAAGCAGCGTTAATTTTAGAAGAGTCCCTGAGGCTACGATGGCTCCCGAGCGCTAGGGTGTAAACAAGAGAGGAGGGTCTTCCTGCGTTTACGGGCTTACGATGCAAATGATGCGGTGAACAAGAGCACTAATAAAACCCACCGCTTTCGGATGACCCTGCTTGCAGCTGTAACGGATAGGAAACCTCCTCTGCGCGCTTGGCTGTCTGCTGCAAACGAGGTGTTTCACCAAGTTGGTCACCTGAGACGACATCCTTTCTACCAGCACCGGTTTTATTGAGCGCTCAGAGTCCTGACCCTCGTGGGGTGGAAATCAGGGGACCTGCATGTAGGGAACGGCCTAGAGCTGCTGCTCCTGGGGGAAATGACCCCACGGGCACCTCTGGACGCCGCTGTGCAGCATCTCTGGGGTGGGTGGCATCAACGTGGTTGGCGTCCAGGTCTATCGCCGCTCCGAGGGGCAGGGAGATGTCACTGACCCCCTCTGAGCTAGCGGAGATTGGGCACCAACCATGACCAGGGAACACGAAATGCTTCACGAGGAGGTAACTTTTTTCGAGTTAAAATCGTGGCCGTGACCAGCTTGTCTGGCGAAGAAAGCAACTTTTCTTTCACATATCCCCAGTATTGCTCTTGCCTTCCCCTACAACTTGAGGATCAGATTTTCTTCCTTTATGCTTCAAGTATGAAAAAGCAAGTATATACTTAAAGCTTGCTCTTTTTTTTCAATTTAATACTCAAGTCCGGCCCTACTTAAGCAAGGAATCCACAGATGATATTTGCAAGTCCGGTGTAATTACTGCAGGGTTGAAAAACGAGTTCTGTGAGTTACGGTACATCATTGTTTTCCTTTTTTCTTTTTTTTTTTTTTTTAATGTTACAAAGAACAATGTGCCTTTCATTTCCTGCCACGCCGTTAAGGTACTTGCAGCTCAAAGCAGCAAGAATACATTAAAACTAAAAAGCATTCGGTTTGGGCACTCAGCATTTTTATTTTTCAGATAAATGCCTCTCCCTGCTCAGAAACTGCCCGAGCGGCGAGTTTGGCACCCATCTGCAATCAGCTGGAATGCTGAACGCGGCCCTGCTCACTTCAAATGGGAGAATCTACCGACTTCTTGAAGGGGGATTTGCTGCCCTGCAATGCAAGCGGCGCGGCCGCGCTGGGCGGCGTCGCGCGGCAGTAACGCGCGCGCGGAGGCGTCGCTGCTCCTCAATGCCACCCTCGCGCTGTGCCCCGCGCTGGGGACGCACCTGCAGCTGCAGCTCTCGCTCTGCCGGCACCGCTGCCTCGAGCAGCAGCAGCCCCCGAGCGGGTCGGACACCCGGGTCGGGTTCTGTTACACCCTGTGCCTCTCCCCAGGTTTAGCACCCTGTGGAAGCAGAGCCGGACTGGAGTCTTAATATGAGACGGGTCTCTGAGCGCTGGACTCGCACACAGCCCCGCTGTGCACGCAGGAAGACTGAAAAGTTCTTGCAAGGGTAAAGCAGTCCTGCTTGCAAAAGGAAAACCTATCCCATGGCCCTGCGGAAGAAAGAGAGGGACAGAGAGAGAGAGGAAGGGAGGGAGG